CGGAGGAGAGGGAGCGAACATGGAGGGACTTTGACGAATGGAAAGCTACGACCAATACCAAACACGACGCCGAGAAGATTGCCCTTGCTATCCAGTTCGACAAGAAGCTGAAGAAGGCCGAGGCCGCCGCCGATGAGTGGCGACAAGAAGCTTCCGAGGCAACTGAGCTTCGCGCAAGACTCGAAGAAGCTCTTCAGCGTGAGCGGGACAACCAAGAATCTTGGGCAACAGAGCGAGAATTGCTCATCAGAGAACGTGACTACTTCGAGAAGACGTGCGCGGAACAGCGCGAGCTCTTGGAAACGCACCACCTGCAAACTGAAGGCCACACCGACATCTTCAAAAAGGCCGTCGAGGAAGCAGCCAGAGCAGATGAGCTTGCGCGAGAAAAGGATGAACTGATGAAGCAATATGAACAGCTCAAGGCTGAAAGTCAGCAAGAGAAGGAGATCATCAAGAGCGTTGCCAGCAACCTCGAGTCCGAGAAGTCCAGGCTAGAGAAGATGATGGAATGCTACGGAGACATCGCAGAGATCAAGAGCAAAGGCGACACCTACTAGTAAGTCATTCTATCTTCCTTTCTTTTCCATTACAGATGTTCATCGCGTTGCTGTGGCTGCGCGTGCCAGAGGGGGAGGGGAGGGGTGGCCACGGGGTCTTCAGCTGGGCTGTACCCCGCAGTCACCCCCCCCCCTCCTTGCAGCTCCATGAAACGCACCGAAGCCCTTCAGCCAGTGCTATTGCCAGTGTCTATACGCGCTCGCTGGATGTCACCATAACTTACACTATGGCGGCTGTGTATTTATTGGTCTCACGATATATTGTTTCTTTCTTGGGACGGAGTTGGTCGCTAACTTATCACCTACAGCCTGACATCTTTCACCCATCTACAAAAGCAAATCATCGATCTGGCGAAAACTCACTTTGTCCACCTTCCAGTACGACCGCCGCCAGAGGATCTTGGACAAGTGCCTTCGAATCTGCCATCGTTCATCGGCGACACGATAGCTTCCAGGTAAGGAAGAAGATTGCGAAGGAAAGATTGCTTACTAACGAGACGACCCCGTTACAGACAAGTTCGAGCGGCATACATAGCTCACACGGTAGCCAAACTCATCACTTACCGCGTCTTTGGACCCTTCCTGTTCAGTCTTGGCCGTCGTTATGACAAAGCTGACTCGCTGTTCTCTTCAATGAGCCACCACATTCGCGAGAAGAGTACACGGAAAGAAGCAATCTGGCGTCAACAAACACTTCTTGCAGCTTTCACAAGCTCTGGCGCTAAACAGCGCATCAACACTGCTGCTGGAACGGTCGTAGAGGAAATCGTCAACGCCATCAAGCATTTTGCTGATCCAAGAGAAGAAGAAGGTATCAAGATTGCAGTGAAACGCATAGTGAAGCTTGCTGCCGAGACGTGGAGATTTGCACGTCTTGAACGTGAAATGATCACGGCCGTCATGCCGGCTTTGCACGACGAAGACCACCAATTCACCGGTAGCCAGTATTGGCCAGCTTACAAACCAGATGACACTGCAGGTTCTCCGATGGACACTTCCATTGATTCGCAACCGAAACTGCTTCTGAGAATTTTCCCTGTCGTCTTCCGAGAACCGAAGCACGAGAACTTCCAGATCAACGGAGAGCCGCGCGACGAAGGCTGCGTCCTTCACCATGGACTGGCTCTGTACGACAATTCCGAGCCCGTAGTGGCAAGGCTTGAAGAGCTGAAATCTGCTGGTTTGCCATCCCATACCACTGTATTAACGAGTCCGACTGACGAGGGCAAGTTTCCGGCGCCGGTACGTAACACAACCCGCATGTGTTTACCTGACCCCAACGCTCACCTTGGCATCTCCGAACTCTACCTGATCACTGCAATGCCCACGAACCACTCCAGACTTTCCCCGAGACGACGACTGCATAAAAACGCTTGGCTAACATCTTGCTATCGCAGGCATGCCCCCCGACCCGAGACGAGCAAACAAACCCCCCCGCTCCTCGTTCCCCGTCCAAAACCGAGTTGAATACGGCTGAGAAATCTACCCCGCGGCTACGTCCAACTTCACCAACCGAAAAGACTGAGAAACCTGAGAAACCCGAAAAGTCCTCGACCATCAAGCGGGCCCTAAGTCTTTTCTCTGGCCCTTCGTTGGGCGACAAGGGTGTGAAGCCACCTCTTTCCACATACTCACACATGCCGCCCCCACCTCCACCAACGTCTATCTTTACGTCCCCGAGGAACATTATTGGCATGCCAGTCGAAAGCCTGGCTCCTTCACATACACCAAGTTCAAAGAGGAAGCCGCCACCGCCACCACCTAAGCCTGCGTCCAAGCCAGAGGTACCATTGCCTTTTACGGAAACTCCACACCACCGCACGTTGTCTGAAAGTACTGGCTTACCCCCAATTTTCTCTCGAACCCCACTTGACGATACTGTCCCATATCACGATGTGGAGCCTGACACATGTCCTCCTACACCTGTAGATACAGTATCTCCAGTCTACGATGCCATAGACGAAATCGAGAGTCTGTTGCCTCAACGAACACGCACTTCCTCGACCACACACTCACGCCGTCGTTCTACACACACGCGCCGATCCGGCGAATCGGCCATTGACGACGAGCTAGAAGACTTTGCCACTCCTCGACCTGAATCCATCCGTCGAAGGAGCACCTACGCTTCTAGTGTCCGCACACACAAGTCTGCTGATACAGAGCGCACAGACAAGAGTGAGCGAACGGACAAAAGTGAGCGTACAGAGAAGAGCGAGCGCACCCACAAGAGTGAGCGCACTAGCCGGACAGAGAAGAGCGATCGCTCGGATAAAACCGAGCGTGAGAAGGCTCGCTACTTGTACGAGAGTCGAAGTGCAGGCGTCAAAGCTCTGTACCCCAGTCCTGCGACTGGGCAAAGTGCAAATGGAAGCACTAAGAATTCTACTCGAAGTGAAAAGAGCGAGCGGAGGAAGGAACGCGGCAGTAGGGACTCGACCAAGGAATCGAATTCCCTCAGGGATTCGAAAGAATCAAAGAGGGAGTCTCGTGAGATCAGGAAGATGAGGAGCATTTCTGATGCTGGCACTTGGGATACAAACAGTGTCTTCACGCACAATGATTTCGCACCTACGACGGTTTCCACCAATGTTCCCTACCCACACACCTATGATGCAAGGCGGGACTCGAAAGAGGTGAAGAGGGAGTCAAAGGAGATAAGGAGGCAAAGAAGTATCTCTGATGCTGGAACGTGGGATACCGCCAGCGAGGTTACTCGATTTGCGCCGCCTACGACCGTGTCTACAAATGTTCCTTACCCGACTGGGGTGTCCTGGAATCTGCGACGAGCAAGAAGCATCCCCGATGACGCTACCTGGGATACTAGCAGTGAGGTTACTCAACGAGCCCCCGAAACCACCGTCTCAACCAACATTCCATACCCTACGGAATTTGGCCGCGAGACTAGGAGAATGAGTGTCTCTGATGCTGGTACGTGGGACACTGAAAGTGTGTTCACGCAACGCCCTCCGCCGACCACGGTCTCGACCAATGTTCCGTATCCAACCAACGCCTCTATGAATGATGTTTCTTACGTGCCTCCCTCACCACGGCAGCTAAGACGACTAAGTGTTTCTGATGCCGGCACTTGGGATACCAATACTGAAATCACAACGCATCGTTCCCGCCCCCCACCTACGACTGTGTCAACGAACGTTCCGTACCCGACCAGCTTCTCCACTGACGAGGATTCTTCTGTGCCAACATCGCCACAACTATCAAGAAGACTTAGCGTCTCCGATGCTGGCACTTGGGACACTAACACGGAGATTACAACTCATCGCGCTGCGCCAACAACTGTGTCAACCAACATACCCTACCCAGCAGGGATGCCTTATGAGCGAAGAAGGCTAAGTGTCTCTGACGCTGGCACATGGGATACCGATAGTGTTGTGACACATCACCGTGCCCCACCTACAACCGTGTCAACCAATGTCCCCTATCCTAGGGGATTTGGGGCACCTCCATCTTCAGTCCACCTGCCCGGACCCTTTGAGAGATTGAAGAGAGAGCAGGAGCAGCACAGCTTTTCTGATGAAGGCTCTGACTCTGGCACCTGGGATACAAGCAGTGAGATCACCCATGCCAATAACGGGCCTTCTACAATCGTCTCAACCAATGCACCCTATAAGCCTGCGAAGCCAGCACGGCTTGAAAGGCCAAGGGTCTTGAGAAGTAAGACCAGCGTATCCGACGCCGGGACTTGGGACACCAACAGCGTGATTACGAATAATGACATGAAAACAACCGTTTCAACGAACGTCGCATACGCAGCTGAACGACGATCTCGCTAGAACAACCTAGCGAAAGGACATGAGTTCATTCCAGTAGTTTCGTTTTCTCCCGGTGTCACGCCGCGAGAACATTTCCTTGTTGTTGTTGTTGTTGTTGTTTTTCCTTGCTCGTTATCTGACTTTGACGTTTGTTTATTTTTTTTAACGTACGCTGCATGCTTTGTTGGACCATCTCATTGGTTATATGCTGAGGAGTAAGTGGAGATGAAATATATGAAATATGAATACGCACATGAAATACGAATATAACGGTTGAGCAAACACGAGTTGGAGAGAGTAATGCATTGATTTGTAGCACGGCGTTTTGGGTGTTTTAGCATGCGTTCTTTGGTCCGCAACTTAGATCAGTTTGAGTGATAGTCAAATATACAAGATTATTTTGCGGACATGACCTTCTAGTCTTTCTACACGTGACAAGAGTAATTAGAGACGTGACTTTAGATGTGAAGTGAAGTGAAGAAAGAAGCTGTCAAGGCAAACGCCGAGGCCAGCCCGCAATCCCCGAACGTCACAGCAGAGCTCAGAGCTACCACCCTCCAGAAACAATCCACACTACATCCCAGCACTCACAACCACTCTGACCACCCTACCAAAATCGCGCCATTACGCGTCAATTGATTGAAGAAACCACCACACAAAAATCCGCAAAATGACTGAACCATCCCCGAACCCTGCGCCAGAACACGACATGGACGCTCCGATCCTAAACGGCGAAGCCCAAATGCAACAGCAACTCGCAGACGTAGAAATGGCAGATTCTACAAGCGACCAACCGGTACTGTAACCCCCCTCCCTCCCTTGCTAGAAAAGAAGCCCTTGCTAACTCTACCAAAAAAACAATTAGCCTCAAGCAGAACCCTCACCTCCATCCCAAGCACCACCTCTCCAACAACCAACAACAACAACACAAACGCAACCCCCAACACCCTCTCAAACAACGACTACTACGCCCTCAGCGCCAGCGCCCAGCGCCCCAGCAGCACACCCGGCCACGGCACCCGCATCCTCGCGCAATTCGCCGCACCCGACGGCGCAGGCGCCCACGCAGCCGATTCCGCACGGGAGTCCGACGCGGGTGTATTTGAATCAGCATGTGACGCCGTATTTGCTCGAGGCGATGAAGCATCTTGCGACGCAGGAGCCGGAGAAGCCGTTGAAGTGGTTGAGCGAGTTTTTGGCGAAGAAGAGTGCCGAGGTTGAGGGGGCTTGAGAGAGAGAGTGTGTGTGTATGTGGGGGGAAATGAGATGAGTTGAGAAGAAGGTTTGGAGCGCGTGCGGGTATGGATTGGGGAGGAAGGGATAAGGGATTGGCAGAGGAAATGGAAAGCAAGCACGGCGGCAGGAGGGGTTTACCATGGTGTACAAAGAGGATACCAAGCAGGCATAGCTGGCGTTCATACAAGTTCCCAAGGCAGGCAGGCAGGCGGCATTTGCGAAAAAAGATACCCAGGTCAAACAAACATCAACATCACACACAACACACGCTCTGGCACCTTGATTGCAATTGGGTATAATTTCATCTTGAGATGATGCTTTTTGATTCATTCCGTATCGTGATGCTGCTAGATATCCGTAAAGCAAGCATCCATGCCCATAAACTCCACGTAAATGTCTTCCATCACGATTACCAGCCACACCAATCCTACATCTGCTTATGCGACGAGGGTAGAGGCGGTAGCGCTCTCGTACCTCCAGGTAGGGGGGAGGGCACCGACGGTCTTGTAGTAACGGGAGAGCTAAGAATTATTAGCTCGAGTCCTTTTTTTTCTCTCTTCCCACTTATATCTTCGGCTCAACTTACACGGTGGATACGGGACTCGATGAGAATGAGGCGGAACTTGCTGTCCCTGTCCTTGCGGTTGGTCTGGAGGTGCTTGCGGACGGCAACGGCCTTCTTGATAAGCATGTAGAGGTCCTCTGGGATGTCTGGGCTCAGGCCTTTATGCGCAAAATGTTAGCCTAGACCAACAAATGCAGATTTGTATAGCGCGCAGATGCTCACGCGGAGCAGAGCTGTGTCGACGTGCGCTTTTCATGTGTATAGGGCTATCGTACCGTTCGACTTGAGGATGCGGAGGATCTTGTTGCCGGTAACAACCTTGACCTGGGCGACACCGTGAGAGTCACGGAGGACCTCACCGATCCTGCACTCCTGTCAGTACATGCAATTCCTCCCAAAATCTCCTGTTGAAGTGGGTTCGGCTTACTGAGAAGGAGTAGCACCCTTCCTGGCGAGCTTGCAGATCTGGTCGACAACCTGCTCGGGGGTGGTCTTCAACCACGCAGGGGGGTTGCGAGAGTAGGGGATGGCAGAGGCTGATATGCCCTTTCCGTTGCTGTGAAGACGACCCATTTTGAATGAATGTACCGGGCGGCGAGCTGGTGGATTAGTACGGAGACGTGTGGAAGGCTTGAAGTCGTGTTGGAAGTTCGCGATCCAAGGACCAATTTCTCGCGGCTCGGCTAGGTGTGTGGTGGACCGTGCGCCGTTTTTAGCGTCAAAGCTCCTGCTGCCAGACAAAAAGTCTGTCGACCTCATCTTTTCACACTTCGCAGCTTCGGAACAACCACCATGCAGAAAGAGCCGTCTTTGTGCTTTGTTGCAGCCGGACGAGCTCCATGCTGATGGCGCTGTTGATACTGCTCTGCTGAAGCGCCCTACTAACACAGTTCGAGACAGGTCACATTCTCAAAGGTATGTTCATTCTTCCATCTCCTTTCTGCTACAGCACAGTGATGATCCACCAAAATTATTTTCTGATACCTCTTATTTTAGGCGAGGCCTTAACGGGTCTTGCCGGTGCATTCAACTTATATTCTGAAATATGCTATACCTATCTACTTCTTCACTTCAGACCTCGAAAGGAAACATGGACTGACTAGAAGCAGACTTTGAGATTACTGGTCGAGCGAGCTCTTGCCAAGTAGACGGTTTTCTACTGGTATTTGCTACGGTGCTTTGGGTGGCTCTTTATGTGCTACTCCTTGACGAGAATTTGCCTTGTTGCACTTTGAGCTGGAGATCGTCCTCGTCTCAGATAGGAGTTCGACACGGTTATGTAGCTACAATGTCTAATATAATCCATTTCGCAAGATTTCTTGATGACATTGATCGAGTGACGGCAGTGTGCTTGATGGACACGGGTTGTTCAGCACTAACTGCAGCCTCATTGTTCCTCTTGCATGCAGCGAAACTTAAAAGAAGCTACGTCAAGATACTTCCCAACTCTATACCTAAGCTTGTACTAGGTGCACCGACTCGCTCAGCCGTGTCAGGTCAGCTGATGACACCGGAAATGGAGGTTAAGTGGGTTAGGTTTACTAAACGAAGCTACATTTAGTACGAAGTATTACTATTGTGCTAAAGCCTGTTTTATCTAAAGCATAAATAGTAGAATACATATACTCCTTTTCTTACATACAAAATTAAGACACCTATATAGCTCCCATGAAAGGTAGAGGCCCACAGCGGAGCATGGGGTATCGATAGCGTCACGTGAGCCCTCTAGAACAATACCTCAGACTTATCATGCAAGTTCATATAATCAGCCCCAGACTGGTGCGCAAATAAAGTTTCATGCACACGCAAAAAGCTGTTTCCCCAACGTGTACAGTTTCAGCTGCAGCATTGTCCTCCGGCTCCGGTTCACATAGGCGCAACAGCGTGCGGCCCAAGCATACGTTACATACAATCGATGGCCTCAAGTAAGAGACATAAAACTACGGTGTATCAGCTCCTTAGCCAGAAAGTGACAAAAGGTCTTAGCCTCCGTAGCCATGAATGTCCTGCCAAAGGATGATTTGCCCGATTCGAAGAGTCCTAATCTCATCCTTCAACATCCGACTGAGGATGAGTGTATCACCATCTGGAACAACACTTCCGCTGAATGGATCGATTCTCTTACCCTTCCCCTCTATCTGAAAGAGTGTCGTCTCCTTAGAACAGTCCCTCTGGCTAGAAATGGGGGTATGACTACTTGGATTCTCGTCCACAAAGATTCCGTCCCAAACAAACGACATATCTTATGTTCGTGCGAAACTTTCAGGAAACAGTCTTTGACCAGTAACACACAAGGAGAAGTTAGCGATAGTATCGTACATGGAATTGCTAGCGTCTTCTGTGCACCATCGTACCGCCGTCGTGGTTACGCCGGTCGCATGATGCAAGAGTTGGTCAAGGAACTGTACAGATGGCAAACTGATAAATTTCCCTGCATTGGAACCACGCTCTACTCCGATATTGGGAAAGAGTACTACGCGAAGCTGGGATGGACTCCAAATATTACAAACTCACAAGTGGAATTTCCGCCGAAGCCCATCGTGTGGCCATCCCTGGTCAAGCCGATCCTGGAGAACGATCTTGACGACATCTGCAAGAGAGATGAAGCTTTGGTACGCTCTCAGATGTCAGTGCCTGCAGATGAGATCAAAAGCACACGTTTCACAATCGTACCGAACGTGGACCACATGGGCTGGCACATCGGAAAGGAACAATTTGCGACCGACTATCTCTTCGGAAAAACTCCAACTGCGAAGGGCGCCATCGCAGGATCTCCAGGCAAGCAAGTATGGGCAACATGGGTACACCGATATTATGGTTCCCTCGATGCCGAGAAGCCACGCAACGTTCTGTACATACTTCGGCTAGTCGTAGAGGCTGATGAAACGGCAACAAGGCTTCGCAGGGATGCTGTCAAAAGACCCGAAAAAGATGTCTACGACATGCAGATTGAGCTTTTGAAGGCTGTATTGCAAGCTGCGCAAGCTGAAGCTGCTGAATGGAAGCTCGACGTAGTGGAGCTGTGGGACCCAACGCCACTAGTATTGGGCATGCTGAAGGACAGCGGATTGGAACACACTGTCACAGAGCGGGAGAAGGATCACCTTGCTAGTTTGCTGTGGTACGACCAGCAGGGTGGAATGAGCAAAGAGCTGCCATTGTGGGTGAACAATGAGCACTATGCATGGCAGTAAGATATGCAGTGTTGGCCTAAGGAAACCTAGGTATAGTTTCGTATAGTAGCTTGATTAATCTAAATGAGCTTTGCGCATTGCATTGACGTACAATATCTTTGGAGATTATCATTGTTTCATTGTTGATATAACCGTCGAAAAAGGTCAAGATTGCAGTACATAATTAACGAATGCGTTATCTTTTAAACGCACGATGTGCAGTTGTGACGGTAGCTATGTTTAGCGATGCCAGTATTTCCGTGTCAAGTATCTTTGACTACAGGGCGAGTTCAGCTTCTTCAGCCTGCTACGCGTATCATCAACACTCTCCATCTAGTCGAGTTTTCAAAGTCATGCAGTATAATGTTGGCACAGTCGACTTTGCTCAACTATAGATTCTTACCAGAGAGTGCCCTGTCCATGCTGCCTGGCCGGTCATAGTATTCAAAAAGTCACATTTTGGAAATTTATATGATGTCGCCACTATGCCAGCCGGAAGAGCGCTCTCGATGGCTCAGCGTCTGGATCTTTGTGTTGAGATAGGCTCTGCCGTTATCAGTATGCATGCGAATAGTGAGTAATGAAAGCAACATTCTTTCGTTCAACTTGCTGAGATCTTGGTTGACATCATATACGGAGATTTGAAAACTGAAAATGTTCTTATGTTTCGGGATGAGAAAGAAGTCTACTGTGCAAAGGTCTCAGATTTCGGTTATTTCACCAGGTTCTTGAAACCCGACGAGGTCTGCCCCATGCCTAGATCACAGCCCTGGGACGCACCCGAACATCACTTCAACATGTTCACCATCAACCGATGCACAAAATATGGATATATTCTCCCTCGGTCTGGTTTGTTGTTGTTGGATCCTTTTCGAGAAGCATCTTGCTCGGGTGGCCCCACTACCAGCAAGCCTAGAATGGGCCGAAGACGTGCTTGTCTCAAAGAAAAGTTTAGACTGCAGCAAGGAGTCCATGAGTGAGCTGAAACGACTCAAAATGATCTTAACCTTCGCTGGACTGCTCTTGGCGAGAGGCCGAACCTAAATAAGCAATGTTCAAATTTCTCCGGGAGAGTTTAAGCTACGAACCAGATTTGCGGGGCTTTCCAGCTTGCTATTTGCACCAAAACTGGATCTAGAGCTCCCAAAAACAACGCCCATGCATTTCGACTTCTTTCCCAGTGTCAAAAAACGTCAGAAGATCTTGAAAGAGCTTTGAAGAAACTCAACACCGTGGACGGTCCTCAAACAGCCAATAACCCCACAACATGGCACATATTACGCAACGCTCACAATATAAAGTTGATCAATCTAGCCAAACAATACACACAATTGGGTGGGATTCGTGTGGCAGTGGAGGAGTTCAGCAAAGAACTAGCTGACATCGAGTACACCCTAGGAAGGAAAAATGGGGCAGTCTTGCTAAGACATGGCGGCTGACTCTAGACAAGATCATAGAATAGTTTTTGAGTTGTGTGCTAAATGATCGATAAAAGGGCTACAAGGACGATGTAGGTAGCCGAAACTAGCACCTGCTTCGCGGAAGCAGATTTCCCGTTTCGGGAGATGGGAAACATTCCAGCATGACAAGAGACGGCGGAGCGGACGAGAGAGAACTTGCTGTCACTCGTTCCGGTACCACAAAGACCGCTAAACTATCTGCTTTCAGTATCGCGCACCCCGTAGCAAGAGTGTTCTTTTTTGGAAGGCAGAAAGGAGAAGGATCTACTTGCGGTTACACTCCTTCGGGGGCTGCGCAGCAAATCACCCCGAAAACAGTGGAGCTCGAATGATTTCTTTAATCTACAATAAGCCACAAATCAGGGGGCTGACATGAAAAAACCTCCTACTAACCTTGACAGTCAAACCGCTCTACTAATTTTAGCAAAAGACGGCCTGGCTCACCAATCGTTTCCCTCCACTAGGGCAAAGAGGCGTGATAAACCACTAACATAATAGGCGCCGTGATCCCCCGATGCAGACAACTGCCGGCCGGAACGTGTTTGGTTCTGTCTCTCGTAAATTCCGCCCCCCCCTCAAGCATGTAAGACTACGTACTCGTCGGTTTTATACTTTGCACAACCAAGCCGTCGGTACTACCGAGCTCGCCCCTCCCTACATGGCTCAACACTGCTACACACTCAGTTTCACGCAGATTCAGTATATCAGTCATGCGCATAATATATACACTGCCCCGCCTTCCCCCCCCAATTTATAGTAATAAGTGTTTTTGTCGGTATTACGTGCCTTTTAGAATTGCGTGAGTAGCCATACGTACCATGCTGGATAGGTTCAACACCAAGAACCCAGACGTCATACCTGATATAAATTAGCGGTCTTGTGCGGGAACTTTTCAGCGCCAGGATATGATACATTTAGCAGGGGATTTGCTGGAGTTTCGCAGGATAAGGGGTCTCTATCCAGTAGATTGTGTTGTCGAGATTTATTCAGGAAACTAGATACAGGGGGGCGGCTCCTCTCACAGGGAAAGGTTTTACACGTTCCAGGCTGGAGGCTTAATAGATTGGACCATAGCCGTCTTTGTAAGAATTCACAGGGCACTTTACAGAACAGACGGAAAACACTCATCATGCACGAAAAGCAAAAGTTCAGGCAGATGTGGACGACAGAGGTCATTCCTTTTAATAATATCTTCATCGATCTACACCCATCTACTTCTATTACGTCTACTCCGCTACACCTTCCAACCTTGTTACGCTTAAGCGTAGACATATTCGACCTTGATGTTGGTAACGCACACATCGTTCCATGGCTGAGGAGCCGTGAAGGGAGCAACGTAAACTGGAGACGTGGGAGCAGCGTGATGAGCGGCGGCAGTGGAGGAACCAGTGGAGGAACCAGTGGAGGAACCAGGAACACGGGAGGGGTAAGGAACAGTAGCGTTTGAAGATCCAACAGAGGCGACGACAACGGAAGAAGCAGCCGCAGAGCCAGAGGAAACAGCAGCGCTTGAGGATGCAACAGCGGCAATGGTAACAGACGAGGCGACGGCAGAAGAAGAAGCGCTGGGCGAAGGTGTGGGAGCGTCACAGAGAGGGGCGACGGCATTGATCTTGTTAACGGCCCAGGTGGAGGCGTCGCCGGTGTACAGCTCAAAGTAGCTCAAGTGCTTGGAGAGGTCGTCGCCGTTGGCACAGATGGGGTCTCCCTTGGCGCAGTAAGAGCGCAGGACGGATGAGTAGCGGTTCAGGCGGGAAAGAGAGGGCTCGGGGCGACCGCTCTTCTGTAGACCAGCGCCGTCAAGAACGTTGTATGGCTCGTTAGCCTCGTGCAGGACATCGCCCCAGAGGAGAGCAGCAGCAACTAAGTTGCCATATTAGCACAGTCCAAGGTTCGAGTGTGTCGTGTCAAGAATACTTACTGGCATTACCAGGAGCCGTGGTAGGGTCAAGACCGGTGGTGAATTGGGAGCATCCACCAGGTCCAGCAAGGATATCACCCATGATCCAGGCACCCTGAGAGTAGCCATTGAGGATAAGGTGCGTGCAAGGGCACTTCTTGTTGAAAGCCGTGATCTGGGCTTGACCGTTGCGGACTCCATCGGCAATTTGTGGGCAGTAGTCGCCGCCATAGGGGAAGACAACCTCGATGTAGTCGCAGGTCTTGCCCTCAGCCCTCAGTTTGCCGCAGGTAGCTTCGACGAAGGGAAATGTACGTGAGTCATGGTACGGCGCATTGTTACCGCGGGCCATGAAGATGACAACATCGGCGCAGGGAGCGTCGAGCTTGGGGGCTGGGCCTGAGACTTGTTGAGCGACGGCGACGGAGGCGACAGCGCTGAGCGCGAGAAGGTTGCGGATGATGGAAGACATTATTAAGAATTAAAGAATGGTATTAGTTGGTCGTGGAAAAGCGAGTGTACTGGTTAAGTTGCGAGGTTGGAAGACCTGTGAGAAGAGAAAGTCGGCTTGGCTTTGGGGAAACAGAGTTTAATAGGAGCGTCCATTTTGCATTTCAGCCGAACTGGGTGTCGAGTCGGCTCAACTCCGCAGAAACGGGCGGAAAAGGGTGGTGTGCCTGACTAGATACGAGTTAGATCCCGTTTTGGATGAGCTACTGTGGTCGAATGGTGAATTCATGTGTATAAGCACTAGCAAGGGTGTAATACAGAACGGGGTAAAAGACAGAACTATACTGTATATAGTAGCCGCTAGGCCAGAAACGTAGCATTGTCCTGTATTCAATCATCCGAAGATGAGTCTGATCGGCATTTTAGCGTCTCCACTGCTGCACAAAGTGCACGCCCTTGGCCGCCGTGTCTATCTTGGGTCGTGCGCTAGCAGAAGCGCGGACAAAGGTCGTATTATTGAGATTGAGGCTACTAATAAGGTTTTGGAGGGTGACTCAGGGGCCGAATGTCCCCTTGATGGATACCGGCACACTCTGCTATGTTTGCGCAAGGGGTCAACGGGACACGGATAGTGACTGGTTAGCGCAGTCGTGAATGATGCTTCGGGGAGGCAGAGATGATCTGAGAGGTTGCCGTTGATGCTTGCCTCGAGGCTAATTTCTAGCTCAGGGGATCAAGCAAGAACTAAGAAAAACGCTAGCGTTGGCGTCAATAACCGACCTATGAGCTTGTCTTAGATAAGACTTGGTGCACGTTCCCTCGACCAACCCGAAATGTCTTGGCTTTCGCCACTGCATGAAGAGCATGCATACTGCCTGAAGCACCACCAACACTAGGCTGGCATAAGTACATGCTATCCTGCCGACCTCCCGTGCCGACCTCTTCGCAACCCACAGCTCTTGCCAATCTATACTTCAAAAAGAGCAGAGACATACATGATCCGCCGGTGGACGACGACTTGACGGCGTCGCCACCTTGAGCCTCGGAAGGGGTGGCATACGAAACCCCTCATCTCTCGCTCCGTATCGAATATAGCAACACGGATGGGCCGATACCGTCAAATCACTTACACGAGTCCATACGCAGCATATCCGAGTCGATAACCTCATCCATTGGGATATCAAGACTGCCTCTATGACAGCCGGCAGCACAAGAATCGCTGCCTTCCAGGGGCCATGTACACATCAGTGTGCGTGTGTGTGTGTGACATAAAATGGACTGTGAGCTGCCTGTATCCGGTTCTCCGCAAGCTTATAAGGGGTGGGGCCTCAGTTGTAGTATAAGGGAGTTATGTCAGCCTCCAGAGCAGGCTAGCAGTACTGTGATGTACTCAGCACAACCTACAGCATTATAGATACAGTTGGTGCCTAAGCAAGCATACGAGCGTACGCATGACGGAGGATGCTTTGTTGCTTCAAAGGCTGTTAGAAGCGGCAAACGAGATTCAGGTGGAGGCGTGGCACAGCTGCAGCAGTTGGAAGCGTCCGATTGCCGCGCACTTGCAGCAAAGAACCCGGAAACAGTATCTCGCTATCTAAGTAGTTGATCGGACAAGAGAACTTGACGTCTCCTGCCTGTTGAACACAATCGCCCTTAGACCTTCTGTTTGCGGCAAGTGGGAGTCGGACAAAACAGGAAGCAAGCAACTCGAAATAGGGGGTTTAGCCGCGTCATTCAGCCGCGTCATTCCCTGTACTACCCTTTGGCGCAGCAAGGTCGAATACGCGCTGACAAAAACCGCCAGCAGCTGGCTTAACTAGTAGCATTGCTCTGTTAATCATACTTAGCCATCGACCCGAGTCGCCATCCCTCTTGCGCGCCCTTGGCTTGCCCGGTGCAGCAGCCCTGCTCTTGAATCGTCAGAGCCAAGCTGCTGTGCCTCTTCCGCCCTTTGCGGCGTCACGGCGTCAGATGTTGTGGCTGGGCATGCTCACCAAGGCTCCCCGAGCGTCGTCGGGCTTACTTAGTCAGACCAAAGGACGATCCGTTCGTAGGTGAGCTTGCAACCTTAATGTCACATCCGACAAGTTGTACACCAGAAGCACATGTCGCGATAGCTATGTATACTCATAAAGATGTGGCCATGATGAGTAGCAGCCAACTCAGCACTGCACCAGGCGGGCATGCAGAACAATAGTTCCTCCACGAGTCAACAGTGTGGAACCAGGGGTTTGCGACAAACTGTGCTTAGCTCCTCCTGAAGCCTCAGCGGCTATATTATTTGTGTTTCCTTCCATCTATAAACACACACAGCCCCCCCCCCCCCCCCAAACGATTTTTCAGTCAATCTCTATCGTCTTGAACTCCAAATCGGGTAAATCGAGGTCTTCTCCTGCCATAAACCCATGGCAGTAAGCCTCGCCAATAAACTCCCAGGTTTGCGGGTTCGTAAGATGCGGTCTAAATACGTAAGGCTGCTCCGCTCCTGCAACAATCATGACAACGTCGCTTTTCTGCACCGTCCACGGCCCCGTACCTAGGTACTTGTTCTTCGTCAGGAATAAACACCGCTGCAGATATCTCGTCTCGAATACGTTTTCGTATGGTGGAGGATAGGCCTATTCCTTATACCGCACCTCAAAACGGACATGGTACCTAGCTTCAGCAAAGTTTCGTCGACTTAGCAGCTCGTGCCTTTCCCGAATCTCCTGGCATAGGGGATAATTTTTCAGAGTCGAAAGTATCAATAAACTTGCGAATCATGTTGATTCTCCGTTTGGCCCTGGCTCGGAGTCTAACGGCAAGAAATCCGCGATTTTCGAGACCTGCCTGATCGTTTTCATTGAACTGCATTTCATCGTTTGCCAGTATGTGTCGTCCGGCATGTTGGTCCGTAGAAAGCCGTAGTATCCACCATGACACCGAACCAATCGAGGAAGTCGCTGTTTTTTTCAATTCAGTCACACAGTCTTCGCCACGTGAGCTCACGGCAAATCTCTCGCCTGAGATTAGGGTTTTCCAAAAGGCAGTAACTGTGTCTTCGTCCGTAGGCTGATAGTGATCTTCAGCGAGGATGGGGGAGATTGAGTAAGGTCCAATAGGTATTACCAATGTCCTTGACATCTATGCAATCCCCAACGTGTTCAATGACATCAAGGACTGCTGCCTTGACTCGCAATGATCGACCGCCGTGATGGAAACTGAATTTCGCCTCCATTGATCCGGATGGCTTGGAACAATCGAAATGCTTGTTCTCGTCATGCCATAGTATGTCACGGAAGGGCAGGGGTCGAGTTTCCGTTATGAGATCTAGTACCCACGAAGGTAGTCCTTGGATCAAGTCGACACCCTTCATCAACTTTTTTAGTAGAGGCGACGGGAAATCTAGGGTGACTCTCACACCTGTCTCGTAACTGTCCAACAAGAGAAAGTAGGTGAATACCAGTTGGACCTTTGAGCATTTGTGCGGCGCAATCGCAGTAGATGTCAATGATGCATCTACTGTAGTCCACTTTATACCCAATCGGCGGGGATATTGAGACGACCGAGAAGAACTTGTCGTGGGCTTTAGTAGTTTTCCGTCTTCGTATCTCCAGAATAGCGTCTTCGAGCGGACATGGCGTACCGGTTTGGAATTTTTGTCTGGTGTTGTGTGCACATCTAAGACTGCTGAGTGCCATGCTGAACGATCCAGCAAGAAGATCCGGACCTCTCGTCTTTGATTCGGCTCTGTTGTAGTTTTGTTCTGTCGATTCAAGCTTTTCGGCTATCTCTAGGATACGTACGTAGGGGGTTCTTGATCGCCGAGCAAGAACACCATTTTCTTTGCTAGAACCACCTCTTGTAGTGTCCAGACGCGCTCAAAAAAGCCTCGAGTGAATATCCAATAGAATGCTGGAAGGTATGCCAGCAGGTTTAGTAATCTCAGCATATCCTTGTAGTTATGGGTTTTTTTTTGCAGTTTTCTGGTATAACGCAAGGACCTTCTCTTGTTCTGACTTTGGCATTGACATTGCCTGTTGGACCCACCTTGCAGCTATGCCGGAAAGCAGACTGCATCTCCCTAGCCAAACAACTACTGTTTTTGCAGAGCCAAAAATAGATTCCATGTTGCTGACTTGAGCACTCTTTTCAGCCTTCCGTTTTTTCTTCTCATCATCGCTCATGTCCTTGCTATTTGCTTGATCAATACAGATGGCATCAATCCAGATCGATGTGCCTCTGTTCAGGGATCTCAGCTGGAACAGCGCGTTGTGGAGATTCTGATGCACCTTAAGCGTTTTTCCATTACATATTATCGTGCGCATTCTTCCCTCAGTCGGGCTTCCGGTATCTCTGTCGATGTACCAAGTGTAGGATAGAGCCTCGAAATCGGTTATCTTGTCCAGTTCTTCTTCGACAGAACACCGGATTAGGTAGTCCCACGTCGGCGGTTGGATAGTGACAAGCCTGGGGTTTCTATTGTTATCCTTGAGTCGTTGGTGCTTAAACCTAGGAAGGTAAAAGTCCTGCAAATATCAGTAGACGAGGGTTGGTTTAGATCGATTTCCTTACCACAACCACCGCAGAGCAAAGACGTATCAATGGCTCAATGAACCAACAAAAGAAGGAACAGACTTTGTCAATTCCGCGATGAAGCATGGTGAGTCAACAGCCAAACCACTTGTGCAAGAGACAATGATCGCGCGTCCAAAAGATGGAAAGGAGGTCGAGTTATCCCTGGATGGATCGTTCAATACCAGGTGCCGGTGTAGAGGTGTGGCGTGAGAGACAGAGCTCGTCCCTCAAATAAATAGCAAATTTGTAATTCGGCAGCGTAGGAGGTGTGTTGGCGAACTTCCCTTATGTCAGCCTCCCTGTTCGCAGTGGCCATCCCTCTTGCAGGTGTAGAGACTCTTAGATTGCCACGCAGCGATCTATGGTGCCGCGCTAAGCTATACCTATTCTAGGCATTGGAAAGGAAGAATGACAACATAGTCTAGGGAATCCAAATATTATACAATGAAAGACGTTTATGATCTTCCTTAGACGAGCTCAAAATTTTCAACATTAACCAAAAGCAAACACTCGAGCAACTAAATGCAGATCCTTTAAACTTCCTTGCTTGACCACTTTTTTAGACGGCAGCTATAAAGAGAGAGACGGGCCAATAAGACCTCACAGCTGTGTAACTCTGACCCCGGGCAAAGTTTCCAAACTGCTTTTCAACGCCAAGTATCAGGATATTCCTTTTGCCATCGGAGGACCATCTCCTAATATGGAAAAGAAGTGGGGGGAAGATACAAGTCGGCACTGTATCTGGCAAACGGTCTCAGGGAGGATTCATTGAGCATGAACGGGTATGCAAATTTTTGGGACATGAGCAACTTTTAGGACAAATCTTCTACACTGACTCTCTGGCGTCTCCATGAGGAAGACGGAAAAAAAAGACGACTGCTCTCGTTTTCATGAAGATGCTACAATTCGCATCGTCCAGAATTCGTAACAGTGTGGCAAGTAGGTAAATGGCATTTTAAAATGACCCTGGTCGCCCCAATCGCTTCCCCACGAGTTTCGCACAATGAACACCTTCTCTTCCTTGTTGCAGCCGACAGCCATGAGCGAATGTGTGTGTTCGCCATTTGCCTTGTCTTCTCTCGTTGGCAATTCTGTGTAGAGGGTCAGTCTGCGAGTTGCTAAAACGATGTAGACGAAATGTACTTAGTTTGAAGTCCGGTCCTTCCAGCTTGTTACGTAGGTTGTATGTTTTCATCAAAAACACAAAAGGATACTTCTCGTTGAAGCATTTCAAGAGATCAGACAACAGTGACTTTTGGTTACTGTGACAAACCGAATAGTAGTTTGCCGTATGCTTGAGAGCAAGTTTTCCGACCGTTTTAGGCGGCAACTTTGCTGCCTTTGCTCCGGGTACAAAGTAACAGCTCTTCTTATTGTACTCTGCCACTTCGTACGACCAATCTTGCTCAGAACAGACTCCATGAGAATTTGCCTTTAAGGAATGGAGGGCATCTTTAAGGCCAACGTCGACGTTCATCCGGACGGCGTTTGGAATGGTTGATACGCTCCGGGCGTTGTACCAGATGAAGAGCCTTGATGGATCGAACTCGGTGTGCAGTTTCTTGTAGACACCATACTCGAATGCTCCCGCGACAGACTGCCATCAAATAAAATCGAGAGAAATGTTGTCGAGCTTACTGATTGCCCATCGTCCTCATCTTCGTCAAGTTGCTCTTCAATCAGCTCCCTGTCAGAGTGATGTGCAGATGTGCTATGTTAGATGTCAGATATAGCAAGTCGTTCTCATTGTCCCCAAGGGGGCTTACCTGCCCCCTCTCAATAGTGTTGCAGCACCTTGTCCTCCACTCAGGATTATATTCTCGCTGGCGTTGAAAGCAGCGTCGATAGCATTCTAAATTGGCGTGGGTATCAGATTTTTGATACCAATAGCGTAGAGGACACCGTTGTGAGTCCGATGGGCAACGTTAACTGCCTGGGCGGCTAACTCGGCGTTTTCATCAGTGGCATCTGCTAAGATGTTGAAGAACATATTGGACCACTGATTGAGGAAATAAGGGCAGTATTATGTGTACGAAGACAGAGGGGAACGGGATTGAAGTGGATTTGGCTTTGAAAAAAGTCTTGACAATAACAGTGAACAGATCTTTTATACGCAACATGTATTATTGGCATGGTCACGAGAAGTCAGTTGAACTAGGGTAAATTTCTCAACGGCTGCCTAGAGGGCAAACCTTAAAATCACTTCGGCCTGACGAGTGGGGATAATAGAAAGGGTATATGAGTAAGTTGTTGATCTTTTACCCCCCTCGAAGTGCTTCTCGCAGGTTGATGTTTGTCACATCCTCCCCCAAGCCGGCAAGCCGGAGACACTGAAGGCCCACTCTCGCGCCGCAAAACTTCTGCCCTCCCAACTGAACTGAAACATGTCCATCCGACTACAGCTCAGTGTGTGGCAATTCAATGATCAGCGCCAATGGCGGACCGTTCCGGCACGTGTGATGCGAGGCATACTATGACCCAAGATGGCAGATATGACGACTGACTCACCAGCGCACAGCGAGCAAGGCTGGGTTCGTGCATCGTGGCAGCAATGAACGGAAGACGTATTGGAACAATCAAATGAATATGCTTCGAGATTTCAAGAAACAAAATCCATCAAATTTCTGGGCCCCGTGTTTTTTGCTTTGTCATTAGCAGCTTTGTATCTTCATTCATGCAATTAATTCAGTCGCGACCGCAGGCACCTACATCCCAATCCGAACACGCTACTGCAAGTGAATCGCAGTGACATTGATTTGCTCCCACGGTGACTTGGGCTGTGGGCTGGAGGCCGGTAAGGCCGCTAGGCCTGGCTGCCTTCTACCCACCATGGGGCACTCGTTTACTGGAAGTCGTCTTCTGGAATAGTCTAGTCGTTACAAATGTCAGCACTATCAATCTATTGATCGACGCCACTAGCCGGTAATGCGGCTCGAATGATGGTGATCTGAACCTAAGGACGAAGCGCCTGGTTTCTCAACAGTTCCTGACTCTGAGGTCACGATGTTGGACACCAGCACACAAACATGAAAGCTGGGCTGGCAGCCAAAGAATTCAAGCCACTAACTTGGAGTTGCCTACCCTTTCGTTGCTGCCTCGTCGGCTAATCTGTCTTGCCAATTATTCTACTGTGTTTGCTCGCGTAATTGTCAGAGCCTAGCCTTCTCTAACCTCCTTACCAGTGTTGGCGAGTTCAGTATGTCACGGCCGGGACGGCCACCAAAAACGGACAGTATATATCAAAACAGTATGGTACAAGTGTCTATCCCGAGACTGCGGGAGGTGAGCTAAA